TTGTGTTTTTATAAAAGTAAGTAATACTGTGTTTAACTATATTAAGCCGATGATGTGGACAAAACTATTGAAAATAACAAGAGAAAACATAGTAACTATGGAAGATCACCTATATTGTGGTCTTATATGTCTTATCCATTGCATGTTTTTCTAGGAATTTGTTTTGCTGTCTTGATATGATTTATTTTTCCCTATAATACAGAGAGGATAGATGTATATGTAGAAATTCACACATGAGATTTTTTTTAAAATTATTTGCGGGAACATATTATATAATGTAAGATGTAATGAACAGATACTCTGAAGAAGAGACACTAAGAAACCAAATGCTAGTTTTGTAGCATTATGATATAAATTCTAGCAATACTGTTATTCACTGATCAGAATGATATTAGTCTGGTCTCTTAAGTTCAATTTTAGCATATGTAAAGGTAAGGAGAGCTACTACGAAGAGAATGAGAGATGCGATGGTAGTTATATTGTCTTCCCCAATGTTAGATCTTGAAGACCTAAAAAAGCCTTCATCATCCTGTAATGATTTGATTAGTTCTATAATATGCAATATGTATTTAATGTGCGTGAAGATGGGGACAACTATTTGTAAGAAACTAGAGAAAATTAGATAAACAGTGAAGATCTCCAGTGGACTTGCTTTGAAATCTGTATTTCTTTAAATTGTTTTTTTAACTGTTTTGTTCTGTTTTGATATGTTTAATCTTACTCTCTTTGAGATGTAAAACAAGTGTGTAGGACTGATAACCACATTACTGAGTTTTTGTTCGATCATTGAACAGAACTGTTTGCAGTGTCACTTTTTTAATGTCATTTTACATACTTTAATTTTGTAACCTGAACAGCTATTTCTAAGATGACAATATATAACTTATCAACTAGCGATTTCTTACTGTTTATTTTTCTGTAATTTTGTATAATTTCTACTCTTTTTTTATCTCCATGTATTTTTTTTTTTTTGTTTCCTTTTCTTTAAATAAAAATAAATAAATAAAGTTATCTGGTCCATTAGATGGAAGAAGTGTGTTTCTATTTTGGAAATCTCTGAACAGATTGAAGCCTGGCAGATATTGTGAAATAGAACTCTAAGAATAAAGGAGGAAAATATCGAGGGGCAGGGGTTGTGTGAAATGAAGTCTTGATCTCTCTGGAGTGGGTGAGGGAGCCCCCGCGCCCACCTGCCCGCGCCCCCCCCCCCCCCAGTAGCAGGGAGATGTCAGATGTGGGATCGGGATTACAGGCACCAGCCTGGGTTGATGGGTCGCTGCCCTGTGTGGGAAAGAAGGAGGCTCCAGGCATTGCCAAGTTGGGACTGGGTCGAGGAGAAGACAGAGAAAGGAAACTTGCTTTGTCCTGTGCTGGGTTTAAAAATGTGCTTTCCTGACTTCTTAAAAAATGATGTGGCCTCTCTTACTAGTAGCCTGCCCACTTCAAGAGTGCCTTCCCTGTATCACTAAACACGAAGAGGGCAGGTGAGTCTCCTAAGCAGCCCAGCTCCAGCACACGTTAAGACCACAATGCTCTTGCAGAAACTCACCGTATCTTCTCACAAAGACAGATACATTAATTTGTTTATTAATCCGTTAGTATGGTTGTGCTTGTTTTTCCCAGTCTCCTGTGTCCCTTCTAAATTTCATTCTGATGCCTTTCTCGCTTTTGGAGAATCCCATTTGCAATAAGCAGCTGTAAGCCGTGACCTGGGAGGCTTGCCGTAGAAGGTTAGTGACTGGAGAAAGCAAATTGTCAGTCAGCTTTGCAGCCCCACAGGCCACTGAAACCCGCTTTTCCAGCCTGACAATGAAATCTGCATCTTCCTGTGATTCTAAGGCTCCTCTCCAGCAGGGGTTCTAGGACAGTAGCACTAGACCTGCTTGCCTCACAGGTGGTTCTGATAATAGGTGCCTTGGTCAGCTCTGCTGTGTAACAAAACCGTGGGTAGGGATCGAGAGCCAGCAGGATCAGGTTGTATTACTGTCTTCCTGGTTTTCATCCTTTCTTCCTGATTTACGGATGGCTGCCTTCTTAATGTACTCACGTGGCAGAAGGGTAGAGCTCCTTTCTCTCTTCCTCTTCTTCTAAGGGCCCTAATTCCATCCTGGGTGCTTCACCCTCATGAACTCACCTAAATCTAATTACTTCCCAAACGCTGTACCTTCAAATACCGTCATATGGTGCTTATGGCTTCGGCATAGGGATTGGGGTCAGGGGGTAAACAGTCCATTGTAGTGAGCTTTTAAAATTCATGTTTAATGTATAAAATGATCTGCAAGTTTCAGATTTTTAAATTAGTATTGTCAGTTTTTTATTGTCAAATTTCTAAACATTTCCCCTGTGCCTTGGTTTCTAAGGAAACCAAATTATTTCTGACTAGTACTGAAAGAGAAAAAAAATAGAGCCCTGGTGCAGCTTGAAGTTTAAAGGGAACGTTAAACTCATAGTGCATTGAGGCTCTCTTCGGAATCAGCTCTCTCGGATTCTGGTGCTGAGGTTCTTACCGCCTGCTGCCCCATGGCAGGGCAAGTGTCTTCATTCAGCAGAGCTAATCCATGCCTCGCCTGTGCCAAGGCAGAATAAAGGGGCTGGAGGAAGAGGCAGATGGTGGCGAGCAGGGCAGATCTTATCTTTGTGTATGAGCGTGCATTGCTGCTGGGACATAACTTTTATTGTATTAAAGCTGCTCAAATTGTTTTAAGACTAGTTTATGGTTTTAATATTTCAAACAAATGTGTTCCTTTTCCTTTTCAATACTGTTAATGTGTCCCAGAAGTTTATTTCCAAGACAATTTAATTATTTTAAGCTAAGCACTGTTTTTCTTAGAAATGTGCTCTGAAAGTTGCAATGTAGCTAGTTGTTAATTGTTTCTATTCTGGACTGTACCTTTCCATGACTTCATTAGACCCAGAGCATAGTAAAATATCAGAGGCAAAAGGCCTAGGGAGTCCGTCTGTGAGTCCTTGACCCTGCCAGTGCAGTCCTTGTTTCCATAAAGATAAAAAATCCTCTTAAACATAATCTGAAATTCAAAGCAAATTAAAATGAAAAATCACCACTAATGCCACAGCAAGCAGAGGGGTACGGTACTACTTAAAAAATACAAATGACTTTGCAGTTCTGATGCCTCTGAGGGCATGAGCCTGCTCGCTGTTGAAAATGGTTCTCTAGATTAATGTCCTTGTTTTACAGGAGAAAACACAAGGACCAATAACTCCAAGAGTGCACATTCACTTAGGAGCGTAGAGCCAGGAGGAGTTAGTCAAGAGCCCAGACTTCCTTTGAGTTTTTAAACAGTCTATATATTTTCCTTGTGAGTTACTTATCTTCTACTGTATTTCTTCTTTTTGCCATTGTTAGGTCAATTATCTTTTTTTGTGCATGTGTGTAGTACATATGATTACAGTTACCCCAGGGAATTGGTATATACACCTTCCTTCTTTTTTTGTGCATGTGTGTAGTACATATGATTACAGTTACCCCAGGGAATTGGTATATACACCTTCCTTCTTTTTTTGTGCATGTGTGTAGTACATATGATTACAGTTACCCCAGGGAATTGGTATATACACCCTCCTTCTTTTATTCTGCTGGGTTTCCATCCTCTACCCTTCCTCTCCTTCTCCGTTCCTTCTACCTCTTGGTTCCCTTCCCATTTGCGAAAGCTCTGTTTTCATCATTTCTTTCCTTCAATTCTTTTTTTCATCCACAGTTTCTCCATCTCTTGTTGTCCCATTCATTTGAAAAAGAACTCCCTATTTCCTACTTATATATCTTGCGTTTTGATAATATATCAGTATATAGGTATAATATATAGTTCCACACGTGAGAGAAGCTATGTGATATTTAAGCTTGTGTGTCTGATTTATTTCACTTACTATTATGGTTTCAAGTTGCATCTATTTACCTATAAATGCCTCAGGTGTATCTTTACGGCAGAGTAGTAGAACTCCATTGTGTATAAATACTGTGTTACATTTGCTTTATCTACTCATCGATGGGCGTATAGGTTGTTCCCAAGATTTAGCTTTTATAAACCATCCTGGTATAAACATGAATTATATCTATTCCTGTAGGATGATAGATGATGATAGGTATCTTTGGGAAAGATACCTAAAGGAGGACCAGCTGGATCAAATGGAATTTCTAATTTTAGTTTTCTGGGGGATCTCCATACTGATTTCCATAATGGCTGTACCAGTTTATATTCCCACCAACAATAAGAAGTGGCCCTTTTTCCTCAAACCTTGCCAGCATTTGTTATTATTATTTGATTTCTTGATGGTAGCCATTAATTTGCATTTGGTCAGCAATGTTGACATCTTTTTATTTATTGGCCATTCTTCTGAGAAATATCTATTCATTTTGGGTACCCAGTTTATGATTAGGTCTTTTATTTTAGGGATCTAATGTTTTGAAGTACTTATATATTCTAGATGGTAGTCCTCTGTTTAGAAAAATAGCTAGCAAAATTTTTTCCCATTCTATAGATTGTCTCTTCACTCTTGTTGGTTGTTTCCTTTATTGTGCAGAAACTTTAATTTGCTGTGATCCCACTTATTGATTCTCAGTATTATTTCTTGTGCCAGTAAAAACCCAGACTTCCTGTAGGAGGGCACTGCTCTGCCTCCAGCCCTCCCCAATCACATGGATACACTCTCTTGCAAAAGAGATGTCTGATCCATTGCCATCTCACTGGATCTAATATTTCAGCCTTATATTGTCAGAACAGAACAGAGGCCAGGCTCAGGAGAGATGCCTCAGACAAGACTGGTCGATGAGTTCTGGTTTTATTCCTTTTGTTCCATTCAGATTTTTTCTACTGTCATGATACAGGCTCACTTTCTGGGAAGAGATAGGACAGAATCTCAACTTGAAAGTGAATTTATTTTTGAAATCACCTTTGTGTCTTTTTTCACTTGGAAAGTTCCAATGGATCGTTATCCCCATACAATTCTAAAGGTCTTCACCTCTAATTTGTTTATTTTTATAACAGCGTATCCGGTGGAGAGCTGTTTGATCGGATAGTGGAGAAGGGATTTTACACAGAGAAAGATGCCAGCACTCTGATCCGCCAAGTCTTGGATGCTGTGTACTATCTCCACAGAATGGGCATTGTCCACAGGGACCTCAAGGTAAGACTTTTGCTTAGCAACACTTTCCAGCCACTCCACAACCCACAGAACACCTGTCCAAGGGGATTGGTTTTAGTGAGAGATGAGGCTGTTTTGAGTCATGATATGTGCAATAAATGATGGGAATTAGGGGCCCAAAAGTACCTTAGAAAAAGTTGAAAATCAATGTTTAAGACCATTGTTCAGAAGATTTTATAACCATTATGCAGCCAAAGAGTCACAGAGAGGTAGACTGCTTCAAGTAGATCTGAGATTGCTTCAAGTTCAATCTACCAGATCATTCTGTTTGAGACGTAAAAACCTTTCCCCAGTGCAGTTCTTCCGAGCCTTTCCCCATGCCAGCTCCTGTTTCAACACAACCCACTGAGTGGAGGAACAGTGGTCAACCTGAGAGGAGAGAGAAAGAAAGAGGGGGGTAAGAGCAGGAAGCCCTTAAGTGAGCTACACTACAGTTTTCTCCCAGTGTTCTGAAGTTTCCTGTCTTTTCGCATAGTGACCCGTCCTCACCCATTAACTCTGAAGAGTCTGGACCTCGCTGTGGGCACCTTAGCGTCACCTCCCTTCCCCCTAACCCAGGTCTGTGCAGATGGTGAAGGGTAGATAAGAACCCACATAAAATTGAGAAATAGTGAAAAACAGCATTGTTGCCCTAGAAAGTAATGTGGCTTCATGCTACAACAGTTACATTTCCAGCACCAGTCCAGACAGAAATCCCTCCCTGATACACACCCACACCCTCAGACCTCAATGCAATGGTTGTGTTCTACTGAAGCTGTGCTGTGTGAAACTGTCGAGAATCCACATCAACTTAAAAAAAACCTGTCAAGGGCCAGGTACGTGGCTCTGTGGTAGAAAACCTGCTAAGTATACACCAGGCCCTGGGTTTGGTCCCCAGCACTGCAAAAGAAAAAAAATCCCAAACATTTGCCCAGACAGTTTCAGCACCTGCCACTTGTCCTGTTGGGGAGATGCAGCCAGCGTGGCCCAATGTAGAGACCTCTGTGTGGGGACCTTGCTGAGTGTACAACAAGCCATGGGCCCCATCCCTAGCACCACAAAAAGTCTCACTGGCAAGTTTTCTGTTCTTTCATGTTATTTTCTGTCAGTTTCTTATTTTCCCATTTCCGTTTCCATATTTCCTTTGCAAAGGCCATTTTAAGACCTTTCTGTGGTCTCTTTTTAGAGATACAAAATATTAGCTTGCATCAGATTGTCTGGAGGGGAGAAAGCACTCCTTACTGGCTCCACCCAGAGGTTCTAATCCTGTGGGTCTCAGGAGGCAGACAAGCTCACTTCTCAGGTTTGTGGGAGATGCCGATACTGCTCTGAGAGCCACTGTTGGTGAAGCACTGGGCTGAAGAGCTGGGCTCTCAGTCTGTCCTTTCAGTTTGGCCTTTTGATTGGGCCTCTCCTCATTCTTTGTCTGTATCCAAGTTCTTGGCTTCTGTTTTCCAAGAATCCCACTGCATGCTTAGCAAGCATCCCCAACCCTTATAGCTTCTCTGTTTAGCTCTGCAGTCCTGTCTTCTTGACTTAACACCACCATTTGTTCTTGCTGAATTAGGAACTGAGCTCAGACTCTTTCCTCTAGCACAGCAGTCTTCAGTAAAAGCTTTCTAACCATTGTAAAGTGTCACAATAATTCTGTTTTTTAACAGAGCCCAAAAGAAAAAAAAATACAGTCTTTACTCACAAAAAGAAATGGGATTCAATAGTTATGGTGACAATTTGTGGGTGAAGCATGAAATTAGAATCAAATCGAGCATGTGCTAAAGGATGTCTTCAAATGAGTTTTAAAAGAAAATAGAACAGGGCAATCAATAGTTGAAATAGGACAAAAGCTTAGGAGATGGGGGTAAATTGTCTAATCACCAAGTGCATGTGGTTCTTTATTTTTCCAAATGTTTGGTGATAAATCCATTGATAAACTGTTTTAATAATACGGTGCAGAGAGAGGCTCTTCCTGATTTTTATTCTTCCTTGCCCCATAACTTCTGCAGCTACAGAGGTAAAAACAGAACATGATCTCAGGCCACAGAACAAGGCCTGGGGCAGACAAGGACCCTCCCCAGGCCAACAGGATCTCCCCACCCATCCTCTCACCAGAGATTCCTTAGACCAACAAAGAGCTATTTTGAAGGAGGATTATCTCCTAGGAAGGCTTTGAAATCAACTAGACATTTCGTTTAGATCAATACTGCGACCTGGTATAAGGTGCAGTAGTAGACAGAAATGAGGCTTTTCCTGGGAGGATGCTAGGGACATGGAAGGAGAGCGCAGAGGATGGCCTGAAGGACAGTCTGGACAAGAGCCCCCGGGCACCTCAGGAGCCCTTGCTGTGCTCCTGCCATTTTTCCTGGAGTTCTGAAAGCCCAAGCTCTCATCCAAAAACTTATTTTGCTGCATAGGGTAGCATCTTTGTAAGACAGTTGGTGGTAGCCAATATCAAAGCTGAAATATCAATCTTAACCCTTTCCACTAATCACATAATCTTTGCAAAGAACCCAGTCAACACACTTCCAGTGAAGTTCGTGTTACCTATAATGGCAGTCCTGATTCTGGACTAAAGGAACTTGGGTCCCTAGAAGACATTGGCGAGAACAAATGGTGACATCAAGTCAAGGCCACGGGAGTGGAGAGCTGAACAATCACCCAGAGGAGATAGAAGGGCTGTGGGATTCTTACAACGGATATAATGGGATTCTTGTGAAAGGCAAGCCAAGAACTTGGACATAGACAAAGAACAAGATGGACCCTGAGCACCTGAATTTTAGAGCTCCAGGGCAAGTGCATTGCCCAAGTGCAGCCACTTGTGTGAAGAACTTTGCAGCACTGGCCAGGCCCCCTTCTTGACCAAACTTGAGTTGGGCCCAGCTGGACTCAGACTTCTCTGAGTCCTGTTTCCACCAGGCCCTGACCATGGACTCTGACCTTAATCCAGCAAGAATCCGTCAAGTCAGTTGAGTGAAATTCCCATACCCTCCTTATCTAAAGTCCTTGACCTCCTCCCTCTAAATCCTGTGTCTTGATCCGTCTTCCCCACGAATTCTATCAAGTGGCTTAGCCAGGACCCCTCAGTGTCCTCACAGTAACTTTTTACCCACTGACCCCCACCTTGCTGCTTGGTGCTAAATCTTTCTCACTGTTGTGTAGTATTTGGAGTTGAGTCCAATCTCTCCCCAACTACAAAACCCCATCATTGTGGCATTTCCCGTCTACTAAAAGTATCTGAATAACTTTCCTTTTTAATAATATCAAGAGGAGAAGATGAAGCACTTGGCCCAGTTTCCAGGGTGGGGATTATCTCCAACTGATTTAGTTAGATTATTGCTAAGAAGAGGCTGTTCTGGCCTGGCTGGGGAAAAGAGAGACATGTGAAGGCAGGGTTGAGGCCCTGTCAAGGAGAAGGCTTGGAGGATCCTGACTAAAATTCAGTCAAGGGCAGTCGTGGACAGTTCTCAAGCTTTCCTCACGGCAATGGCTGCCCATCCGAATCTGCTCAGTCCCAGTGTTCTAAGAAGCAGACATGCAGGCCGCCATCTCAGAGATACCAGAGGATGCTTTCGTCCACCATTTAGTACCCTCACAGGTGTTCTGTTCCACAGTGAGGCCTTCTGGTCACTCTGCATAGTGGAGTTCCTAAAACTTGGTTTCACCACAAACCCCTAGCAGAAGAAAACATTGCTTCCCCTTGGCCTAGGGAGGACAGCTAGGTGGGAGATGGGGGTCAGAAAGTGAGCTGCTGGTTAGATTCTTCACTCTGCATGTTCCTTAGGGTTTAGTGTAAATGAAAGCCAGAGTTACTTATCACTCTGCAAATCTTCAGAACTGTCCAGTGGGTGACATTTCCACCAGGCCCTGACCTTGGACTCTGACCTTAATCCAGCAAGAATTCCTCGATCAGTTTATCGACTGCCCTTGGTGTTGTCGCCCTCAGGGTCAGTGTCATCACCTGTGCCACCCTTCCCCTCCCGCTCCCAGAATGCAGGTGCACCTTTTTCTCAGCCAGTAGCACAGGGTCAAGTTTCAAAACTGCAGCCTCTCAGTCCCATAGCTCCTTCCCCTTCCTTGGCGAGAACCGTGAGAGCCTCCAGTTTCACATAAAATGCCGTGCAGAGGATGTTTCACTGCGTCCCTCTCCACCAGGTCTGCTTCCTCTGTGTCCTCCCACATCCGCAGCTGCAGGTGCCCCAACATGGTGGCCCTGCAGTGAAGGCAGGCATGTGGGAGTGATAAGAAATAGAAAATGTTTGCTGTCACCACTTTCTGAGCTTTGTCACATGCTGTTCAAGAGAGCAAACCAGAAACTGTTACAGTCCACATCTTATAGAAAGGCAAACAGATCCTCGAAGTCCTAAGGATGTGTGGCTAGAAAGCACCGTCTCCCCACTCGGGGTCTGCTCTGAGTTGAGGTTTCATCCCTGCTTTCAAGGGAACAGGGGTGTGGGTGTCTGATGATCTCAGCAAGCCATGAAATAAACCCTCTGCCAGACTCCACGACACCGAGGAGGGAAAGTGGCTGCAAGAGCCAGTACAAAGAAGAATCAGAGGAGCCCCTGCAAGAGTGATTCTGTGTCCTGGGAATCCCCTTTCCTCCAAGAAAGTATTGAATAACTGCTTGAAACATGACAAGTCCAAAAAGACACTGCCTCAAAATATGATTAGTCTTTTCAGCTAGGCACAGTGTTAGTAAAGGGAAGGGTCCAGCGTAGCTCTGAGGCCTGCCTGGCCAGGTGCTGAACGGATACTCTGTATCGTGTTTCCCAGATACTGCTGGGTTGAGGCAGCCTCTGTGTCTAAGATCGAGGATGTTCTGTGTGAACAGACTTTGTGATTTGATGAGTCTCCCACAATTAACTCAGCTGTAGATGTGATCTGTGAAATTTTCATCTTTCTTTTAGCCCGAAAACCTGTTATACTACAGTCAAGATGAGGAGTCCAAAATAATGATTAGTGACTTCGGACTGTCCAAAATGGAAGGCAAAGGGGATGTGATGTCCACAGCCTGCGGGACCCCAGGCTATGTCGGTAAGGACAGAATGCACGGGCGTGTGTGTGTGTGTGTGTGTGTGTGTGTGTGTGTGTGTGTGTCTCCAAGACAGTTCCATCAGTTTTCACAAGCATTGGAGCCTGGCACATGATCACAGCCACTTCATTTCCCTTGAGGGAAGAATAAATATATAGAGAGGCACTGGAACAAGTGAGCAGGAAAGTGATTTCCCCAGAAACCATCTGAAAGTTGGGCAGAAATCCTGTTTGATTTGGTTGTGGGCCCGACTGGAGGTCAGGAATAAATTTGGATGAGTTCCCAGGTTCTAATATTACTATGTATCTGTTTCTGGATGATTTACAGTGCAACACTGAGATTGCAGTAAGATGCAGACAAAATAAAACATTCAAAATGTCAGATAGATTCAGCAGGGGAAAACATTGCTATGAGGAAACAGGCTCAAACTTTGATAAGTCATTCTCTTGAGTCAGTTGAACCCAATCTGTTTGGACAAAGCTAGGAATTATTAGTCTTTTCTAAAATCAGAAGCCCAGATTCTTTGCACCACACACAAAATGCAGAGAAAGTAATGACAGATCTGAACACTTGGATTCTGAGGTTTGCCTTCTGGGGACCACCAGCTTTTGGGGGACTGTGTTAGTTGGCTTTCTATTACTGTAACAGATGACCTGAGGTCATCAGCCTGTAAAGAGAAAAGGTTCATTTTGGCTCACGATGTGGAGATTTCAGTCCAGGTCAGTTGACCTGTTGCTGTGGGACCTGTGGTGAGGCCGTGTATCACATAGCAGAATCATCCCCCTTGGGGCTGGAAGGCAGAAGAGGTAGGCAGGGGAAGAGACTGGGGTTCTGATCTCCTCTCAAGGGCGTGACCCGCAGGGCCTGCCCCTCTTAAATGCACCACCACCTCCCAGTGCCCTGTGCACTGGGGAATGAGCCCTGGGGGACACTTCCCTGAGCCGGAGCGGGAGCTGTGTGTGAACGCCATGAGGGCTTTGTTTCCTGGGTGTCCTTGTCCTCTCGGCAAGTGTACAGGAAGTGCCCGCTGAGTCCAGCTCCATCCTGGACTCTGAGGGGAGACAGCAAAGGAGACAGGAGCAGCGCTGGCCCTGGAGGAGCTCATGTTTTAGAGGCATCAACAGACAGCAAATGGAGGAAGAAATGAGCAGATTGTAAGGACTCTGCGCGAGTGAAACCAGGGACACACAATAGAAAGACAACAGCGAGGAGAACTCAGGACTCGGCTGAGAGCGCAAGGAGACTGTGGGTTTCCTGAATTTCTTTTCTCTCCTTTTTCTGCTTTCTGCTTTCAGTATTGGAGAGCAAACCAGGGCTTCACACTGAGCTCCACCCCCGGCCCTTCTTTATTTGTAAGTCCCAAGGTTGTCCAGGCTGTGCCTGGATGTGCAGTCCTCCTGCCTCAGCCTCTTGGAGTGCTGGGATTGCAAGTGCAGGGCACCACACCCGGGGACTTGATTTCCCTGGATCTTTAAGTGGCTGTGGTCTGAGACTGTGATTCTGTTTGTTTCTGCATGCAGCACTGACGGACCCAGAGACACTATTTAGGAGCAACCCTGTTCCAAAGTACAGCCCTGGGCGACTCTGGGGTCAGGTACCGAGTTTGCTGCGAGGAATGTTGGGGGAGAGGGGACCCACAGAGTACAGCTGCACAGTTTGTTCACATTTATGAGCGCCTTGCTTTGCCTGCAGTGAGGGTTGTAAAGAACACACAGCTTCAGAGCAGAGAAGAAGCCATGTGGGCAGTGACACAGGGATGTCCACATGGGCTTCCCTTGGCAGCCCTCGGCTCAGCCATGGCTGTTTCCTCCCCGACGCAGTCTGTACGGCAAGCTTCTGTGCTGCCATCAAAACCCAGCAATACGCTCTTTTCATTATTTTCCAGACACTTTGTCCTCTCTTTTCTCTCTCCCTTAACCTTTTTTGCAGTCTGATGGCTCTGATCACATGACATGAGGGTGCATGTTTTTCTGCAGGTTTTGCTCAAGCGGGAATTGATCTTACTCACCTCCATACAGGTGCTTAATGAATTCTATAAAAGCACAAGGTTTGTTAATATTAACAGCAACAGGTCAACTGACCTGGACTGAAATCTCCACGTGGTGAGCCAAAATGAACCTTTTCTCTTTACAGGCTGATGACCTCAGGTCATCTGTTATAGTAATAGAAAGCCAACTAACACAGTCCCCCAAAAGCTGGTGGTCCCCAGAAGGCAACTTTCTTCCTTCTCTCCTTTTACATTCCTTCAACGTGCATTTATTGAATTTCTCCTATGCACTGTGTATAGTATTTGGTATTTGGATACAAATGTAAATAAGGTATAGTCTCAGTCCTCAAAATGTTCCCAGTGTTGTAAGACACAGGGGAAAACAGGTAAATTTAATAGTGTATGGTAACTGTTACATTATTCATCCATTCAGGAAGTATTATTTAGTGCCTAACTTCTGTTCAAGGCCCTGAAAATGCATTCATAGAAGAAGAAGAAACAGAAACTCTGATTTTCATGGCCCTCACGTATGAGTGGGAGGAGACAGACTGTTGCAAATAACTAAGTAAATTCGCCCATGTGTCAGATGACAAGCAGGAGGGAGAGAAATAAATAGATGCACCATGAGGCCGTAATGTTAAGTGAAGTCAATCAGACACACAAGCCTAGATATCACACGGTTTCTCTTATCTGAGAAACTCAAACTCTAAATCGAGAGCAAAATTAAAAATAGGTAACAGGAAGTAGGGAGAGACCTTCGTTAAATGGAGAAAACCCAGAGATGGAGGAAGCGGGGAAGGAGGAGAGGAAAGGAAATGGAGAAAGGAGTTAAGACGTGTCATGTCCGTGCACCACACAAGGAATGTAAACATACTGCACAATGCTCTAATAAAATATTTTTTTAATTTTGAAAAAGAAGCAACCAGGGAGAGAAATGAAGCACAGGGTGAAGGAGGCAGCCTTGACGGTAAGGTTGACTCAGGGGCAGGCTCTGGCAACATTGTTTTGGGAGGGAGCGCGTTCTAAGCGCAGCACAAAGGCCCTGAGACAGGAGAGTATGATAAAAACAGCAAGGAATAGCATGAGCAGAGGAAGGAGTGAGCAGCAGAAGACCAGGCCAGAGAGGTACTGAGCAGAGGGATACAGACCAGGGTTTAGTAATCACTGTAAAGCCGAGTGTGGTGCCACAGGTCTGTGAGCCTTCTCTGGAAGGCTGAGTCAGGAAGGTTGTAAATTTGATCCCAGTCCAGGGAATTTAACAAGACTCTATCTCCAAATTTAAAAATGGGTATGGGTTTAGCTCAGTGTGAAGTTCTTAGGGTTAGTCCTCAGAACCACACACACACACACACACACACACACACACACATACATACACAAATACACACAACAAAACAAAAGGGAGAGAAGGAATCGCTGGAGCTTTACTTGGGATGACATACAGCCAGTGGGGGATTCCTAGCTAAGGGAGGACTGATCTGATTTCTAACAGGTCCTCCTGTGATGCAGGATGAATTGGGATGGATGTCAGTGAGGAAAGGCCATAGTGGGAGAAGAGAGACCTGTCAGAGGCTCTGGCTTCCATCAGATGAGAAATAGCATAGTTTTAGTCCAGGCTGGTAGCCAGGGAAGTGGTGAGAAGCTGTCAGATTCCAAATCCGTGTCAAAGGCAGTGACATCAAGATTTGCTGAGAAATTCAAAGTGGGATCTGCAGACAGAGGATGTCAAGGGTATTTGGAGCGCAGCCCCTGAGAGGACCATTGCCTTTCACTGAGGCAGAAGAGCCTGTGCATCGGGCAGGAGGCAGCAGCTTGCAAGAGGGAGTCTGGTTTCAATCTGGTGCAGTTCAGCAGCTCGCAGCATTCTGGCCACTGGTGTCTCCATCAGCACATCAGTCTGCTAGCTTGATTCATGTGTTTCTGTGTAGCAGATCTTGTCGATTCTCTAGCAGCATCACTCAGGACTGAGCAAGGTCTATCTGGTGGATGTTTTTGCTGTGTAAAACCACAGCATAGCCACTGTACTATAGAAAAGGTCAGCGCTCTGCTTTGGGGGTTGCTGGCTGCTCCTGACCTGGCTGTTATCTTCAGATTTGGAAACAAATGTATGAATGTAGAATGAGAAAAACCGTCCTTTCACCCTGTGGCAGTTTACAACTTTATAGCTTTAGTGCAGAGGCTTTATAGTTTTAGAAGTGTAGCTTTCAATGTGCGATCCAGTGCTTATCATTATGATTTGTGAATGACCAGCCACACAGTTAACTTGGACAACATCGTGTTATTACTTCAGTATTTTCAAGGTTCTTGCACTGTTTGTGACTATTACGTCTCTTAAGTCTTCAATTTAAATGAACTCTCTAATAATGAAGGAACAATGAAGGGAGGACCTGTTTTCTCTAAGTGTCCTCATGCATATGGTATTTTACGAGAAGAAGGCAGGACTGTATCCGCTTTGAACTTCATACATAGGATAGTAGCTGCCCAGATTGTACACTCACTTTAGGATCTATGTCATCCCCAACCTGAAGGCAGCATCACTTCACACAAAGTGCTGCAAGCATCTCCCCAGTGATGTTGCTGAGTTTGTGTTACCCACGGCTTAGAGGGCGGGGTGCTATGTCAACACTGAGAGTCCCCTGGAAGATAGAACATGGCAGGTGGCTGATACGAGTGCAGGTACGGTAGCATGTTCATAGGGGACATAACTAGCAACTCTCCATAAAACACAGGCAGGGAGGAACCATCTAGGGCTGCAGTGGCCAGGGAGGAAGTGGGATATGCAGGAAGGGCAGAGCTCAGGCAAACATACAGAGAGATACAGATGCAGCACAGTAGGGAACCCAGGCCCTGATTCATGATCCGCTATGCATAACATCCGGGAGAAATGAGCCGATGCATTGGCTTAGGGAGAAGGTTGGTGTAAATAAATACTTGCTGATAACTTAGGAGACGTTATGGGCCAGCCAATGGGAATTAAATTCTCAGGGTCCCATGGCAGCTGCCAGGATACTCTGA